GGCTTAGGTTTTGGATGAATGGCGAGTCTATCTAGATTGGGTTTTGTTTTCCAATTTCAAAAAGAACTTTAAAATAAATATGTAAATACAAATGGCAGAAGCAATGTATTTTATCTTATTACAAATGTGTGCAGCACTTCACAGATTTCCTACACAGAAGCTCACAGTGGGGCATAAGTGCGTGGGCTTGGAAGCCGTCGGGATGCTGGTGCAAACTCTCAACGGCACATAAACTGATCTGTCTGGATCCCCACACTCTTATCTGAGACACAGCTGCACTAACATCTGCAAACAAAGCTGCCGGCAAGAACTGGATAACACGAGGAAAGACCCGCACACAGCTCCTCGCTCTTGGGGGACACTCAGCAGCAGCTTTGGTTATTATTTTACACAGCATCATTTGTTCCCAAGCAACCTTGTAAAATACACAGGACAAATGCTATGAATGACCATTCCGTATCTGAGACTCAGGGAGAACAAGACGTCTCCAGCCTGATAGACACCTGTGTTATGAAGGACTAAGTAGTGTGGGAGCTGCTGTAGACATCATCATGCTAAGGTCTCTCACCAGCACCCTAGGTACGTGGCAGCAGCCACAGTCTGCCACCTGGGTGAGCTGATTTCCATGAGTTTCTCCTCCTGATTGCAAAGACCATCGCAGGCTGGGTGTCAGTGGCACCAGACATGCTTCTGTGACATTTTTCCACCAGGTAACAACAGTCAATAGTGAACTGGCCATTCCCAAAACCTGCTTACTCCTGGTGTCAGATGTCATCCTGCAATGACCAGCTTTGCATTGTATCAAGAAAAACGTGCTTAAGTCATAGATGAAAGGTCTGATCATTTGATGAGGCTGTAATGGGGAGGTAGAATAGAGAGCCTTAAACCTGTTTGTCAAAACAGCCCGCTTCAAAGTAGCAGTAATGACTGTGGAGCTAAAAATGTATTTATCATAAGATACATGTTTTAAGTTAAATTTATAGAGAGTGCGACAGAACATTACCAAGTACCTATCAGAAATTAGAAATTAGGGGGTCTGAGGTAGGGGTCAGCAGGCCTTGTTTTCAGAGCCTGGGTCATGACCCTTCTGATCAAAACAGGATGTAGCACAGGAACTGGCCCAAACCAGCTAGGGCCAAGATGGTGCTGAAGCCGTCTCTGGTTGCTCTCATTACTCATTATGTACTGATTATAATTCATCTGCATAGGACACTCCCACTGGCACCATGACAGTTTACAAATGCATGGAAACAACCCAGAAGTGACCTTATATGGTTCCGGAACTCCCACCCATTTTCCAGAAAGCTCATGAATAGCCTGCCCCTTATTTAGCATATAATTAAGAGTGGGTGTAACTATGCTCGTCAGCAACGCGTGCTGCTCTGGGCCACTCTGCCTGTGCGGTGGCCCTGCTGTCGGTGCAGCTACCGTTTTGCTGCACACTTTGCTCTGTCACCACCACCTCACCCTCAAATTCTTTCCTGAGCAAAGCCAAGAACCCTGCTGGGCTAAGCCCCAGTTTGGGGATTTCTTGCATCAGGTCTGGACCTAGCCTGTAAAATTCTGACCAGCTGATCATAGTTAATAAAGAAAGTAGGTCATGTGCGGTGGCTCACGCCTGTAATCCCAGCACTTTGGGAGGCCGAGACGGGTGGATCACAAGGTCAGGAGATTGAGACCATCCTGGCTAACACAGTGAAACCCTGTCTCTACTAAAAATACAAAAAATTAGCCGGGCGTGGTGGCGGGCGCCTGTAGTCCCAGCTACTCGGGAGGCTGAGGCAGGAGAATGGCGTGAACCCGGGAGGTGGAGCTTGCAGAGAGCCGAGACTGCGCCCCTGCACTCCAGTCTGGGCGACAGAGCGAGACTCCGTCTCACAAAAAAAAAAAAAAAAAGAAAAAGAAAGTAGCAATCCCCCAAGTGTGAGCTGTGCTGTCACCAATTTCACTCCCTGATTTTCACAGCTCCAGCATTCTCTCATTACCAGATCCAACTGACAGGGGAAATGCTGTTGGTGTTTGTGGCACAGACTTCTAATATTTCACCACACTTGTTCCCATGTTTTCCTTGTGTGTATGTTTTTATATCATAAACAAAATAAACCATGCTTAGGAGAGTACTATCAATCTTTCCTTCAAAACAGCAGTGCCCTCATATACTGCTAAATGGAATCACGTATTAAATAAATACGACCTCCAACTTTACCTGTGCTTCACACAAGAACTTCATTTGCCAACCGATGGTATTCAATTTAAAGTGAAGCTCTCCTTTCTTATTAAATTATGCAGGATAGGCTTCAAAGGTTGCTGTCTTACTGAGACTTGGATTTTTCTTGCATACACGCTCTTTGGATTGTTGCAAGCCTCTGGTTAATTTTCAGAGTTCTAAGCAAGCTGGTTTTGACAATTTCTGTGACTGTTTTCATTGCCTTTGTGAAGGAGAAGATTTTCGATGTCCTGTTCCACCATCCCTCGTTCTTCTTTATGATGTTTACTTTTAACAAAACCTTTTCCTGCCTGTGGTTATTTCCAAATCTTAATTTTACTTAATTTTATGTGGTTAACTGTCTCTTCAATAATTACCAATATTGTCCAATCCTGAGAAAATTTAAGTGATCAGAAAACATATTTTAAAAGTTACTGTAGTCATGATAAGTAATTATTGTAATACAACGTATGAAAATAAAAACGCCTTCCAGTTGTTTGATTGACAATGCTGGGAAACAGAGGAATGGTAGTGAGGTGATATATGTGGAAGAAAGTGACTAATACCAGTAAAGAAAAGAAATTTTTAAAAATAAGGAACCAACAATTATACTTACTCATATATACATGAGTAAGTATAATGAACTTAGTGAATTATATAATTCAGTATATGATATCATTACACTTAATGAATCAGTATGATGTATACATATGCATAGCTGGCTTCTTGTGCCTGTTCTTTAGTGGCCCTTCATCACGAAGGTTCATGACAATTACAAGTTGTTGCTTTTTCCTCTTTATTTTTTATAACTATATTTACACCATATTTGTTTCTTTTTTGTTTTTTATTTTGAGACAGAGTCTCGCTCTGTCGCCCAGGCTGGACTGCAGTGGCACGATCTCAGCTCACTGCAAGCTCCACCTCCCGGGTTTACGCCATTCTCCTGCCTCAGCCTCCCGAGTAGCTGGGATTACAGGCACCCACCACCATGCCCGGCTAAGTTTTTCTATTTTTTAAGTAGAGACGGGGTTTCACCGTGTTAGCCAGGATGGTCTTGATCTCCTGACCTCATGATCCGCCTGCCTCAGCCTCCCAAAGTGCTGGGATTACAGGCGTGAGCCACTGCGCCCGGCCCCTATTTGTTTCTTTTATTCATTAATCTCAAGGGCAATAGAGACCTACCCAACCTTTTTCTCACTGAAAATTTTCCAGTATTCAAAAAAATTCAGTCAGGCGGAAAGACATTCTGATGCCAAATACTCAAGTGTCAAGACAGCTAACATCTGACTCCCCCATAAATCACTCCCCCTCTCCCCGCTGCCACCCTGCTGGGTCTAGCTTTGGCACTTTTCATCTTTCTTTCTTTCCTGACCACCCCTCCATCTCGCTGCCCAAATGCCGTTCAAAGGATTATAAAAGAACACGACAACTCAAAACAATATGTTTTAAAAGTGCAGAAGAGGTGATGGCACAAATATCAAGAAAATCAGGTCCTTTACAGTGCACATGGCACAGTCTCATGGGAAGAATGAAGCATCATGAAGATGTATGGCTCAGTATTGTTTGTAATAGGGAAAGAAAGCATAAATTCAAATTCCCATCTGGAGCAGACTGAAAAGATAAATCAGGGCCAAGGATGGAATTCAGCGGTGATGCTGATGGAAGCTCTGGTCCATGACAGCACAGGATGCACTTACTCATTTTCAATATTCAATATTATTCAATATACAGCAGCAGTAGCGCGAGTGCCAGGCACAGCAACATGCCCTGAACCACAATGATACGTTGTTTAGTGGAGAAGAGCAGGGTCACAAGACACGTGTGGAGTGCCGTTCCGCCTGATCACACGCGTTAGGCCAGAGCACACAGTCACACAATGACACTATTCTCTGAATCAAAGCCTCAGTCTTAAAGAGACAAAATGAAATTATTCCCAAACACTGGAGTTTAATATCTGATATTTATTTTATTTTTTTGAGACAGAGTCTCGTTTTGTTGCCCAGGCTGGAGTGCAGTGGCGTGATCTCGACTCACTGCAACCTCCGCCTCCCGGGTTCAAGCAATTCTCCTGCCTCAGTCTCCTGAGTAGCTGGGATTATAGGCGCCCACCACCATGGCCGGCTCATTTTTGTATTTTTTAATAGAGACGGGGTTTTGCCATGTTGGCCAGGCTGGTCTTGAACTCCTGACCTCAGGTGATCCACCCGCCTTGGCCTCCAAAAGTGCTGGGATTACAGTTGTGAGCCACTGCGCCTGGCCAATACCTAATATTTTTAATCCTTTGCAAAAAATCTCCCTCTACATTTTAATAGAAGACCATTCATTTTTATATACAATTGATTTGATTTGCAATGGTTATTTTCATGTTTTCTTCTAATTAAAGTTTCTGGAAATGCTGTGGACTTTTTTCCGTAAGAATTTTCAAAATCCTGTTCTTTACTTGCTCTGCTGCTTGCTTTCTTGCTGGCACTGGTGTTCACGTTAGTGCCCCACGTAACCGTATTTGTCCACGGGTCTTCCCATACATTCCCATTTCATTCAATTAAACATGCATGAGTGCTGAGTGGCAAACACCTTCATTATAAAAGAAACTTTTCCAGATGCATTTCCCCACAATAAAGGTTTATTTCTCTCTCTCTCTCCAATAAAAGTGTATTTCCTAAGTTCTCCCTGTACTCAGTGCTGTAACCTTAAATATTAGAAGATTTCACCAAAATAAAGTCATAAAGATACAAAAATATAACGTAAGACCTGTATGCAGCAGAGGTGCCCCACCCACTCAGCAAGACTGTACCTGGGGCGTGGATGGGTTGAAGGCCACTCCAGTGACGGTGTCTGTGTGCCCAGCCAGCCGGTGAGAAAACGTGCTCGAGCCCATTTCATACACGTAAGCCTACAAGACAAGATGAGCAGGTGAGCCATGTTAACTCAGAGTGAGGAATCAGCTATATGCTACGCAGAGCAGAGGGACTGTCTATAGATTAGTGCAGTTGATCAAATACAACAGCAACAACCGAGATGCCTGACAAAACATCATCCACGCTGGGGAACTAACCTTATAAAACAGGCATCTTTTCCCCTTCTCTCTTGTAGATTTTTAACATCTTAGTGAACTTATGTCATACCTTCTATTTACTATCAAAAGCCTCCATAGTACCCTGTGAACAGTTTTAAATATATGCTCATGTTTGATGACTAATTTTAAGGAAGGAGTATAGATTCTGTAATGCAACCTTACCTTGAAGTTCCAAACTGAATAATAATTTTAAAAAAGATGCTCTATTGTATCCTCCCCCATAAACTTGAAATAGGTACATATGCTATACTGTGTTTCCTACTCATCAGCTTAGAATTTGAGCAATTCAAATACTTAGATTTTTTATAGCTGTTGATAAGTTCCTCTCCAATTGTGTGTGACACAATTCTGGATATATGTATCCAGAACCCCCATCAATAGTTTATTTTAGAGACAAAATCTGTTTATCAGATACCATTCTGATGGAATTGAGAGATGAGATAATCATTAAGTAACAAAGTGTATCAACAAATATTTTCTGAAAGCCTACTAGTAATAAACAGCAACGTCACACTGCAGCAGAAGGAAAGTGTCAAAGGTGATTCCTTTTCCCGCAAAACCCTACTGTTTTTTAAAAAATTAAGCGTATTGTGTATATTTGAAGTTTGCAACATGATTTCATGGGATCCACACCTACAGATATGAAGATAATAGTACTGGTAACTGTAGAGAGGTGGACTCTCATATCTATCATCTCACATCACTACTTGTATTTGTAACAAGAACAGCTAAAATCTATGTAGTTCAGGAAAATCCCTAATACTCCATGCTTGTATTAACTTGAGCACTTGTGTTGCACGTTAGATACCTGGACTTCTTCATCCTAGCAGCTGCTGTTTCGTATCCTTTGACCCATATCTCCCCATTTCCTCCCTGTCCCTGCCTATGTCTACCCTGTTAGCCACACTTCCATCATCTATCTTGGTGTCTTTGAGCTCTTGTTAAGATACAGATTTCACACAGAAGTAAGATCCTGCAGTCTTTTTCTTTTTGTGTCTGGTTTATTTCACTTAGCATAATGTCCTCCATGTCCATCCATACTGTGGCAAATGGCAGGCTATACCATTGTGTGTACGTGTGTACAGACATATGCACACACTCCTATATCATTTTTTTTATTAATTTGTGTTCATTGATGAGCTTTTAGGTTGTTTCTATAGCTTGGCTGTTGTGACTAATGCTCAATGAACATGGGAGGGCAGATGACTTTACATGGTGTTGATTGCCTCTCCTTTGAGCATATACCGGAAGGAGGACTGCTGGGTCATATTGTAGTTCTATAGTCACTGTTTTCTATACTGTTTTCCAGATGGCTGCACCAACCTACATTCCCACCAACAGTGCACAAGGTTCCCTTTTTTCACACCCTCACCAACATTTGCTATCTCTTGTCTTTTTGATAATAGCCATCCTTACAGGTATGAGGTGCTAACTCAGTGGTTTTAATTTGCATTTCTCTTATGATTAGCAATGTGGAGCACCTTTTCATATAGATTTTTGGCCATTTTTATGTTGTCTTTGGAGAAATGTCTATCCAGGTCCTTTACTCATTTTTCAATCAGGTCATTTGTTTTTCTGCTATTCAATTGCAAGAGTTCTTTATAAATTTTGGATATTAAACCCTTATCAGATATGTGGTTTGCAAATAATGTTTCCCAGTCCATAGGTTGCTTTTTCATTTAAGAAAAATAAAGTTGGAGGCATCACACTTGATTTAAGATTATATTACAAAGCTACAGTAACTAAAACAATATGGTCCTGCCAGAAAAACAAAAACACAGACCAATTAGAGTATAGAGCTCAGAAATAAATCTAAATGTATATGGACAACTAATTTTCAATAAGGCCATCAAGAGGACACAATGAGGAAAGGATAATCTCTTTAATGGTAACCTCTTTAATAAATGGTGTTAGGAAAACAGATTTCTGCACACAAAAGAATGAAATTGGACCTTTATTTTACCATACACAAAAATCAACTCAAAATGGATGAAAGACCTAAAATCATAAAACTGCTAGAAGAGAACATAGTGGGAAAGCACCTCAATACTGACCTTGGCAATAATATTTTGAACGTCAGAAAAAAAGCTCAGGCTACAAAACAAAAGTAAATAAATGGGACTACATCAAACTAAAGAGCTTCTGCTCAGCAAATAAAATAATCACCAAAAAAGAACTATTTTAATGTAAGAATGAGTCCTTCAGATTTAGGCCTTACCAATGATTCTGTCAATGACTAAGCAGGTTTTGAAGTAAAGTCTACAAATAAATGTCTGATATACAGTTGACCCTTGAGCAACGTGGTGGCTAGGGGTACTGGCCCTCCAGTCAAAAATCCACACGAAGCTTTTGACTTTCCAAAAGCTTTACTGATAACCTACTGTTGACCAGAAGTCTTACCAATAACATAAACAATCAATTACCATATATTTTATATGCTATATGTATTAATACTTTATTCTTACAACACAGTAAGCTAAAGAAAAGAAAATGATATTTAAAATATTGTAAGGAAGAGAAAATATACTCATTATTCACTGAGTGGCATCATAGAGGTCTTCATCCTCATTGTCTTCATGTTGAGTGGGAAGGAGGAGTAGCAGGGGTTGGTTTTGCTGTCTCAGTGGTGGCCGAGGCAGAAGAGGTGGAGGAGGTGGAAGGGGAGGCAGCAGAGGCAGGCTCACTTGGTGTAACTTTACAGAAATATGTCGTAATTTCTGCCTGACATTTTTGCTTTCTCACATTTTCTATATGGTACCAGTCCTCCTACCATTTGCTTTCATTTCACTGCCTGTATCTTAGAAGGATCCATGTCGTGAAACACATCAAAAGCACTGAGTCATCAGAACCCTTCTTCCAGATTATGTCTAATGTCAATTTGTTTCTTGGCACTGCTTCTTCCATGTCTTCTTACTCATTGTCCAGCATTGGTTTGAAGCACTCATCTCCATCAAGTGGTCTTCTCTTAATTCCTCTGGTGTGGTGTCTGTTAGCTCTTTAATTTCTCCAAGATCCATAGCTTGAAACCTTTTTTGCCATATCCACCATCTCTTTCATGATTTCCTTGGTTGGCCCTGTCATAAATCCTGTGAGGTCATGCACAACTCTGGACAATTCTCTCCAGTGGGAATTGTTTCAGGGTTGATGGCCTGCATGGCTTTTCCTATAACAGTAATGGCCTCTTCAGTAGTGTAATCTTTCCAGATTTTCATGATGTTCTCTCTGTCAGAGTTCTCTTCCACAGCATTGACAACCCCTTCCATAGGGTTCCATGTGTAATGACCCTCTGATCTGGAGTCTGGATTAGAGAAGTTGTTTGGGGGCAAGACCACTTTGATGCCTTTGGTGTTAAACTCATTGGGTTCTGGGTGGCCAGGGGCATTGTCCAATATCAAAAGAACTTTAAAAGGCAGTCGTGGCCAAGCGCGGTGGCTCACGCCTGCAATCCGAGCACTTTGGGAGACCAAGGTGGGCGGATCATGAGGTCAGGAGATCGAGGCCATCCTTGCCAACATGGTGAAACCCCATCTCTGCTAAAAATACAAAAGTCAGCTGGGCGTGGTGGCACGTGCCTATAATCACAGCTACTCAGGAGGCTGAGGCGGGAGAATTGCTTGACCCAGGAGGCAGTGGTTGCAGTGAGCCAAGACTGCACCACTACACCCCAACCTGGCAACACAGTTAGACTCTGTTTCAGAAAAAAAAAAAAAAAAGGCAGTCGCTTCCTGACTTCAGGGACAAAGTAACAATGGAACCAATGCGGGAAAAGGTTCTCACTGTCCTGCTTTCTTGGTGAACAATGAAAAGATTGGCAGGTGGTGTTTTTTTCCCTTCAAGGCTCAGTTTTATGGATAAGGGCAGCCCCAATCACAAGCTCAGCTGCATTTGCACAAACCAGTAGAGTTGGCCTATCCCTTCCTGCCTTAAGTCTGGTGTTTCTTCTCTTCCTTACCAATAAATGTCCTTTGTAGCATGTTTTTCCCTAAGAATAGGCCACTTATATCTGCACTAAAAACCTGTTCAGGCAGACATCCTTTCTCCTCAAGGATTTTCTTTTCTTTTTGTTTTTTTTTAAGATGGCGTCTTGCTCTGTTGCCCAGGCTAGAGTGCAGTGGCACAATCTCAGCTCACTACAACCTCCACCTCCTGGGCTCAAGCGATTCTCCCGCCTCAGTCTCTCAAGTAGTTGGGATTACAGGTGCCCAGCACCACATCCGGCTAATTTTTGTATTTTTAGTAGAGACAGGGTTTCACCATCTTAGCCAGGCTGGTCTCGAACTCCTGACCTCAGGTGACCCGCCCACCTTGGCCTCCCAAAGTGCTGGGATTACAGGCGTGAGCCACTGTGCCCGGCCCTCACTGATTTCCTTAATGGCGTCTGGGAACTCAGCTGCTGCCTCTTGGTCACAAGCTGCTTCTCCTGTTATCTTGATCTTTTTTTTTTTTGAGACAGAGTTTTGCTCTTGTTGTCCAGGCTGGAGTGCGATGGTGCGATCTCGGCTCACCGCAACCTCCAACTCCCAGGTTCAAGCGATTCTCCTGCCTCAGTCTTCCCAAGTAGCTGGGATTAGAGGCATGCACCACCAAACCCGGCTAATTTTTTATTTTTAGTAGAGATGGGGTTTCTCCATATGGGTCAGGCTGGTCTCAAACTCCCAACTTCAGGTGATCCGCCTACCTCGGCCTCCCAAAGTGCTGCGATTACAGGCGTGAGCCACCATGTCCAGCCCTATCTTGAACTTTTTAAGCCAAACCTCTTTCTAAAATTATCAAGTCATCCTTCACCTTCCCTTTGCTTTGTCCGATAATGACTTCAC